GCTCTCACTGAGTAAGATGAAGCAAGACTGATGAAGGAGGATAAATTTGCTGCTACTAATTTAACAAAGCATTTCCTTTTAAATTAACAGGTTATCCAATCAAGCAATTACCAATTGCCAGAATAAGCCCATCAGAAACTCAAATCAACATTAAAAAAAATATCTAAAATCCCAGCATCTCATGCCCTGCATCCAGATTCCCAGCACTGAGTAGTGTTGCCGTCTTTTCTCCTCTACCCACCTAACAGCTGCTCAGCTGTGAGCTCAATGAAGCTGCTACATCCCACCACCACCACCAGCCTTTGAAAACAGAGATCCTTGCTTAGCACCTTCAGGCAAACTGTAACAAGTCCCTAATCCTTTTACCCCCCTTCAAACCACAGTTTTAATCTATCTTAATAAATTTTCAAGCCTTCTTCCACCAATTAAAACAAATTTGTTTGTACATATACTTGCATTGAGCAAATATTTAGCACTGAGAAATTCACCTCCACTCTATAAAAAGCAAACAGAAGTAAAACATTTAATCATAAATCCAGTACATGTTTATAGTATTTACAAAGCATTTGTTGCACTTTATAAACGAAGCAATTAAAGTAAGAGATACTTATTGAAGTGGGAGGGGCGAAGGAATAGTAAACAAAAAATTCACTTACGCTTGGAAAAAAACATCTCTCACATTCAGTACACGGATGCAGTTGAACTTGTAATCATGGCTGCACAGATGCTTGTAGACCTTGATTCATTCCTTAGCTGTATTAGAAGCCATAGTTTCTAATAATAGGTTAAAATCAGATTAAACACATTAATTTAAAATAGAAGAAAGACATTCCTCCACATTAAACAATTATTAACAAATGAGCTCAACCTTAACTCCTATGTAGTTTTTAAGTGCTTTGTGCTTATTTAAGCAGTATGAGTCTGAATTTGGCTGAGACGCCAAATTTGAGAAGAAAGCAATTGTTAAATTATGAAGACAGAATTTGACCCTGGGGGCTCTGGTGGCAACAGCAAGGTTAGCTCAGCTCTTCAGGATGCTCAATGCACTCCTCTCCCCCGAGTCCCGGCCGCTCTCGCGTTATAAAAAGTGCCTTTGCTGGTGGAAGCAAAAAGCGATTTGTTGCCGCCAGCCCCTCCTTCCAGCCCTCGAAATGACTGGCAACTCCCGGCTCCCGTTGGGAAGCGAAGATCGAGCTGCCGCCTCTCCGCCGGACCGGGGATGCGCTTCCCTGGCGCCTCGGTTAGCGTCGTGAGGTTTAGGTTTGTCGACGCTCGCGAGCTCGTGAACACTTTCTTCTCTGGAACTTTTGCCCAGAGTTGAAAACCTACTCACTTTTTGTATAATAAAGCTCCCTTTATTGCTCTTCTTTACGATATAAATATTTTAGCCATATTAATTGTTTTCTGTATTTTTTTTTAACCTTAAAAAGTTGTGATTCAAGGCTTGGTTTATTATTTGTTAGTCGTGGGAGTAGAAAACAGGTGAGGAAGATCAGTGGATGTACACGTGAACTATATAAAACACATGAGGACATGGAGAGTTTGGTATTGTATAGAGGAACCTAACTGAGAGTAACAATGTAAAAACTGAAGACAGGAAGCCTGAATCTAGGAAAAGATGAGTGGAATCTCTGTGCAAATCTACATTAACTTCCTGTCATTCTTCTTGAATTTGAAAGTAAAAAAAAGTGGGGCTCTAACAATATCATGTCACAGTTCCTCTGTAGCACTTAAATGTGTAGATATGCATCTGCCTCATCGCCTTCTGAAATCTTAAAAAGTTTCTCATCCATGTCATTGTGCCTCTGAAGTATTTAAATGAAGGAAAAGTTTATCCATGTTTTGATGGAATTACTAGAAATAAACAGGTTTATGTACATGAAGAAACACTGAAATATTTAATGGATATTAATGAAGTTAATAGTAACTTCATAGTTGAGGTACAACTGCAAAAAGCCAGCGGTTGCATGAGCGGTCTGGCATAGCCTGAGGTGGCTGTGGTGGTGTACCTCACCTGGTGCCTCCACTGCCAGCTTGCTTTTACAGAATGTAAGGTGAAATTATTACGCAGCATTGAAATACATACAATAACAAAATAACTTCCTTATAAATTTCAGTACCGCTTTTTGCTATTAAGGAAGGCTTGTCTGCAGCAACTTGAACAGATGTGAGTTTTATAATGTATTGAAGTACCATTAATGTGTTAATCAGGGACTTACACAGCATCTTGTATCTGACTAAAATCTTGAAAGATCCATAATTCCCTTCAAATTCTCCTTGTGACATGTCTCTGCCCTCTGACACGTTTGCTCTTGATTGCAAATCCAAGTTGAAAAAGTTTTACATTTTAATACTCCTTCCTATTTTTTTGTGTCTTTTGTGCTAAATGCAATTTAGACCAAACTAGTTTTAGGGCAGTTTCTTGTGTTTCTTTCTGATATTCTGTTGTCATAATCATGTGGAGTGGCAAGAGGAAGTAATTAAAAAAACCACCTTTCTATATGCTTTGAGTAAGCAGAAGTAGTGGTAAAGATGTAAAAGAAAAAGCGTACGGCATTCTGACTTAAGTCTCTGAATATTGCATATTCTTAACTTAAAACAGTCTGTTCCCTTAGGAATTTTCTTATTTTAGAACACTGAAGTGTTAATGGTTTTAGCAAATAATTTTAGTGTGTGTTGCAGAAAAGTCTGGATCGTTTACTAGTTCTAGAATTTGCATTAACTCAAACAGGAGAGAATCAGTAACTGCGCTATTTGAAGATCCTATCCTTAATTAGGAGGACACTAATCAAATTTATAGTGATGTGCCATCCGTTAGGCCTGGCTTAGAATACCTTCGATACATTTATTATTATTATTCTGAGCTAGTAGAGTTCAGAAGGTATTTCTACATTTTTGTGTATACCCCCCCGCCACTCCTGATCGTTGTGTTTAGGGAATTTCTTTTCAGTGAATGAGGCTTGGGATACAGAAAGAGCTATATTTAAGTTATTAAAGTGTTAGCTAGTAAATTCTGAAACTGTAGTTTAGATGGAGTGAGTCTGTGGAAGGGTGAACTCTAGCACCTATAATATTTGGCAACAGATTTCAAAAGGCAAGTGTCCATCTTGCCACAGACAGTAACTAATCTATGTTCTGAAGGAGGTATTTGCTAAACACTGTAAAAACACTATTGGTAAGCTAGTTTCAGTGTCTAAAGAAGGTGATGTAAGTGAACGCATAACATCAGGACTCAAGTTACGTACACTATTTAAAATTGCTGGTTGCTGTGACTAGCTAACTGAAATTACTTTTTTTTTTTTTTAGAAGAAACACTACATTATTATTTTAATAACCTGCTGTAGACTTACTTGCTGCTTTTTCAGCCAATGCCATCTGACAGTTCTAACGATTCCTGCTTTTTTCTTGGGAAGCTGGTAGACTGTTGTATGCTATCAGAAAGCTTTTTCTGAAATTAGACTTCCTTAATATATTGTGTTTCTCAGTAGTGTTCCCTGTATTGCATAAATAATATAATTGCATGATAAGAACAGTTCTTGATTTTCTAACAGGTGTGTACACTTACAGAAAAATTGCAGTTAAGAGAATCAGTCAACTATGTGAAATTTTGCAAGATTGTTTCATTAGGTGGTCAGTGTCATCCCTTGAAATAAGTTTTGATATTGGAACACAACGGTGTTCTGGCATTTGAAAATACTATTTTAAAAGGCACAGCTTGGGTTAGGCATCAGAGTGGAGCAGCAAATAAGATAAATAATGGACTGACAGGATGCATAGATACACAAAAGTGGTGTATACTGTTAACAGATACTGTCTGTATTGAACCTAAAAGCATAAGCATTGATTCCTCCCACAGGTTTTGTTTAGTTAGTGCATTTGCTGTATCTTCCTTCCATACTAATTTTGGCAGTCATAGCTGTCTGTTCATGAGGAAGTGTACCTGCTGTTGTAACTTAGTTACATTAGTCGTACATTTTTAATTCTCCCAAATGTAAATAATTAAATACCAGTTAGTTTCTATCATAAAAAAGACTGTCAACACAAGATTAAGGACTGCAGTAGGTTGATAGTACTGATCTGTGGGTTGGGGTTTTTTGCAGGGTTGAAGATGCTGATGCATCAGAGAAAAGCGTAAATGAAGAAAATGGGGAAGTATCAGAGGCAG